ATTTTAGATGAGCTGCGAGCTCCTGTCAATTGAAAGCACATATGACACGCAGCAGGAATTACGATGAAATGGTCAGGACACGTAGAAACTTATTATGGTAAAGGGAGTAAGATACAACTGCCATTGGTAATTGAGCAGCCTTGGTTTTTTCCCAAAGGATATTTATTTATTTATTTATTTATTAATTTTTGCCTGTCCCGTTTGGCTCTTTTGCCATCAGAATTATTGTCTAAAGGCGAAGACAGATGCCCAACGGATTTAAGGATATTTATTGCTTACCAGACTTTTTGCTTATCGCCAGTTGGGTCTCTAAACAATGGAGATGAACTGGAACCAACTTCTGTTTTTGGTAACTTCTTCTTATCATATGTGTGCTGTGATACAGAACAAAATGTATTATAATGCTTTATTTGTGCTCTTTGCTTTTGTGTGTGTGTTTCAACAGGCGGCCAAAATGACAAACTATGCCAAGTATCAGCGCTTGTGTGACTTCCTCTTCATCGTCTTTAGCGTGGCATTCTTTATCACACGGCTTGTTATATATCCAATATGGTAAGTACACCAGCAGTGTCAGAATGAATAGCTATAGGTGGTTATAGATTTTAGCTTTTTTCTTTTCATCTACCTGTTGTGCATTGGGAAGGTTATGTTAAACAGCTCTTAAATTTAAAAAACAAAGAAGAAAAAGAAGAGCATAATCTGTTGTCACCTGATTGGCTGTGACATATCTGACAGCTGTCACTCAGGAACACGCAGCCTGCACTTAATCTGCAGTGCTTAAATGTATTGCTGCTGACCTAAGAATAAAGAAAAAAATGCCATGTGCTCCTGTTTAAATAAAATTATAATCTGAAACAGGTAGCAGCACTGTTCTAGATCAGATGAATCCTTTTTCAGGACGTCTTAAAGATTCACTGGCTTTACCTCTGGCCCAGAACACTGAGATCAGTGCTGGTGTTTACATTTAGGGACATGTTTGGATGCCTGCTATTCCTCGGCAGAGACCTGGATGTTGCAGCTCAACTTCCAGAAAGAGAGACAGTCCTACAGACAATAGGGAACCTATTACTGGCAAAAGTAACCTGAGCAGCTATATTCAGTGTCTTGGTGTGGATGAGTGATAAAGCTAGTGTTGCCGCTGCAGCTACCTGGGCTGAAATCTATACCTGTGCTGGGGAGGTGGGTCTGTTGACAACCTGTTGTCACTCAAGTGGATGTAAAGGAAGACATGACCTCACAGACCACTCAAGTGACATTACCGTAGATTTGTGTTACTCGCTTGCATCGCTGCCTTTGGCTTGCAGGTCGGGATTCCACTCTGTATGTTAAAGTAAGACTCGTTTAAAGAGTGCTGCTTAAGCTTATTTTCAGGTCTGTTTCTGGGACTATAACATAGCCAGTCTTCACACATACGCCTGTTTATCTCCTCCTTCAAACAGGGTCCTGAACTCTACTATGTTTGAGAGCTGGGCCATAGTCGGGCCGTATCCGTCCTGGTGGCTCTTCAACGTTTTACTTCTGGTCCTCCAAGTGCTGCATATCATCTGGTCCTACCTCATAGCCCGTATAGCCATCAAAGCCATCCTGCGAGGCAAGGTGGGTCACAAGGAGAGTTCAGCTGTCAGTACAATTGTGTACAATTTGTTAATACCACCCTTTGCCTTCAGAACTGTCTTAATTCTTCATGGCACAGATTCAACAAGGTGCTGAAAACATTTCTCAGAGATTTTGGTTCATGATAGCATGTCAATATTCCACAATGTTCCACCCCATCCAAAAGGTGCTCTACTGAATTGAGATCCTGGTGACTGTGAAGGTTGTTTGAGTGCAGTGAATTCAATTTTATATTCAAGAAACTGATTTCAGATCACTTGGGTTTTGGGATGCGGTGCGCTGTCCTGCTGGATCACATGATGCTACACTGTAGTCATAAAGAGATGGACATGGTGAGCAACAATACTCAGGTGGTCTGTTGCTTTAAATGCTCAGTTAGTAATAAGGAGTTCAAAGTGTCATTACACAAGCACCATTGTACCATTGATACAGAGCGGGATTGAATAATGCTTTGGTGGTGTGTTCAGGGATGCTCTTCTGGATACATTGGTTCTAACTAGTGGTTATGTGAGTTTTTGTACTCTGTCCATTCTCTTATGTCCTCTGACATCAACAGTGAAGTTTTGCCCACTCACTGGATATTTTCTCTTTCTGAATATTCACTGCAAACCCTATAGATTGTTATGTGGGTAAATCCAAGTAGATCGTCAGTTGCTGTAACAACACTGGCACGTTCAAAGTCATTTAAATCATCTTTTTTTTTTTTTATTCTAATGCTCAGTTTGAGCTTCAGCAGGTTGACTTGACCATGTGTACGTGCTGCCATATGATTGGCCGATTAGGTGTTTGCCTTAACAAACAGTTAATGTATGTTTTTATATTGCTCATGACTTCTGAATGTGTACTTTGCACTATTCCCTGACATTTTCATTTAATTAAAAGCAGGCCAGTCGATAATGAAAATCATCACATTGGGCTTTGTATGCAACACGTCAAACCCTTCCTGCACAAGAGGAACACAAAGTGTATTGTCACCTGGTAGAATGATTTTTGTAATGTGGTATGAACACCTGCTAGTTTCACTTCACTACAGTTGACACACCCTGGGCTGGAAGTTTATATTTTTATTACATTTGTGTTTGGTATGTTAGCACACCAAACAGAATGTTTGTCCAAGATGACACCACGGCTATTTTTGGTAACGCCTTTGCTGCCTCTTGTCTTTTTCCCCTCCATCCCTGACTGTGTCTCATTCTCTCTGCAGACGCAGTTTGCTTCCTCTCCCTCTGGAATGAGAGAGGGAGATCCTGTCTTTCTGTCTATCTTTGTCCAATGAGCCCTCCTCCGCTGCTCTCTTGCTTCTCTGCGTCTGCTCTGTCTGCTTGACAACTTCTCTGTGTTTGGCTGTAAGTTTCTGTTCACTCCCTCTGCCGTGATTTCTTTCACAAATCATCCGTCCTATTCGTTTGCATAAAGACTCATAGTAGCTGCAGTAGATTTTGATTAGACAGTCATTGTACTGAATTTGAAGCCAGCAGTAAGAGGAGAGTAAATGATAAGTAATGTGGTAAAAGTGTTATGAATGTCAGGTATGTCCCACTGTTTCTCATTAGTGAGGACGGTGTCGAAATTGTCCCACAGCACCACCTTGTGGCAAATGTTGTGAGTATAATCCAGTTGTTACACTAACTGCGGTTTCCATTAATATGAAGCATCTTCTCGTAACGCTTTAATTTGTTGTTTATTACTCGCTGTGAGTCAAACTAAAGCGTGAGGCCACGCTCCAAGACCCTGTCCCTACGCCCGCTCACACCATTTGCACATTTATGTGAAAAGTTCCTTTAATTATTTCTTCTTTCAAACAAACTAACTGTAAGTGGAAGTGGGTAGTAAAGCCCTCCACCACCGTGTCTGCATTGATGCAAGTTCACTAACCTCATTTGTCAAAGGTGCAGCATCTTGTTTTGCGTCCAATATGGAGGAAACGTCAGAGTAATAACCAAGATGAGCTTTTGTGGAAGTGTTGTGCACTTGTTGGCCAACAAGACTTTGGACGTGTTTCTGAAAAAGTGCTTTGAAATACATGCATGTTTATTTTTTCTGTAAATGTTAATAAAAAGGAAGAGCTTTTTAGAAATATTGTAAATATATGAATGTAAGTGAAATAGAAGAGACACTTAGTAGTAATATAAATCATCTGAGATGCTGATTAGAAGTTCCTGTTTCCATCAGAAATGGGCGAAGACAAGTTTTCCGCTGTGTTTATGTCCTACCTGGTGTGAAAATGGGTTGCTTACGTCTGATGGTGATGTTTTAATATCAGACAACGATAACCCAGACAAACACAAAATGCACTTTTACGAATGATCATTTCATTCAAAAAATAGCTTTCATCCAAACCTACCTGACCCCAAGTGAAAAAGAAATAAAAATAACAAAGAGAAGAAAGCCAAAATTCACCCACAGCAATGTGAAACTCATTACCAATTATCACAAATGCTTGATTGGTTTTTCCGCTCTTCTGAGGAAGAACTACATTTATTAGGTTTACGGTGTGATTACTTTTTCGCATATTGCCATGATGGCTTGGTTAGCATTATAATTTAAAAACTGCAGTGTCCTTGTTAATAAGATGCTAAAGCCATCACCTTCACAAATTACACAGAATGGCCTACTTTCAGTCTGCTGCGGAGTTGGTAATTAATTTTTTAACATTAATGTCATACTCTGCGTCTCCTAGGTGGGCAATGATGTCCGCAGCGACATAGAGAGCAGCTCTGAAGATGAGTCAGCCTCGCCAACACAAGGCTTCAAGACCTCCCCTCATCCCTGTAAGGGAGAAAATGGCACTAATGGCCACTGTGCTTCTGCCAAAGCCCGAGCTCAGAACCACAACAGCTGGTGACGCGGAGCCTGAAGCCCCCTGCCGTTCATCCCCTCGCAGTGTCTTAGAGAGCTTTGTTTGTCTTCTGACATTCCTCTGACGCGCAAAGTTCACTCCCACATTCTCTCTCTCTCTCTCACACACACACACACACTACACTGACAGTGAGTGCACACAGATTCATGTGTTGGTGAACTGATGATAGATAGACACTGGGTCGTGTGATGAGGCGACACGTAAAAGCTGCAATGAAGTCTGTTGAAGCGAGTGATTTGCATAGCCTTGTTTTTACAAATGTTGGGATTTATCCTGTGCTTGAAGATGTTCTTTGGATTCAAAGTTCTCTCCCAGTTTTATTGGTCAGATGAACTTGTTTGGTTATTTCTAAGGGTTAATTCACAACAGACAGCACAGGGCACAGGTGTGTCACTGCAGATGTAGCAACATTAATGTAATATTACAGCTCTTAAAAGCACGACACCGGCTGTGAGAGACAGTGTGGCTGAACATATCTGCCCTTTGCAGTTCATTGTGAAACGACCCTTTACCGCAATGTTGTGAGAGATTTGTTTTATTGTTTGTTTTGTTTTTTTTTTACTTCCGAGACCAAAACGTTGATGAAATTGTTGGATATCACTGCCTGTAAAGAATTCCAGATATGAGGATAATAATAAAGGTCTGCAACTCCTACTTTAGTACCTAAAAAAATGTGTCTTTCCAAATATATTCTGTTAAGTGTTTCTGCTTGTCTCATCTTATTTGAATCCTATTTCAATATATTACACAACACTGTGTAGCTGAATGCATTTAATGTCATATAATACAAACAATTACATCTTATTCCTGAAATAGTGCAGCTCAGAATGAATTTGACAGAAGCCAGTGATGGAAATATGCTCGTGGTTAATTTTCTGGGAGCTTTATAAACAAATCCTTGTTGGAATCACACAAGTGTCCTCTGAAGAATAAACATCACGATTCGCTGCTGGATAAAGACGAGGAGGAATGAGAAATGTCCACATGTGTGCAAAAAGCAGAGCTTTTGTCAGTCTTTGATGACTTCAGGATCCTGGTTCTCTGCTGCCAGCTTCAGCTGCTTCTGCCTCTCCATGTAGCGGTACCCTCGCATTGCACACAGGTAGCCCCCGTACACCGTCAGCAGCATCATCGAGGCAGAAAATGCCCGATAGCCGATGTCTGCGAGCCGCTTTCCTGTTACCATGCTGGGGATCCTGAAGGAAATCAGGAACAAGAGATTAAAATGGGTTCATAAGCTGAAAAGTAACCAGTGACAACACTGCAAACATCACTGGTTCTTAAATCAAGAACTTGAAGTCAGTTATTAAAGAGAGAATATTTGTTATCTGTTAATTTGATAAATACTCCCAACATTATCACCATCATCCACACCTTTTACTATACGTGTGCATTAAATAGAAGTACTGAACCCGCATGTTCCTGACAAGTAGTAGACTAAAATGGAAATGCTCAACTATTGAGAAGTACTTGATACTTCCCACCGTTGGACTGGACAAGCTGGAACAAGATGACTGAGATTTGATCAAAAACATTTGCTCCTGCTTATCACACAAACAAGCTCAGCTTTACCAATCACACCAGCAAAAACCTTAATTACAAATTAATTAAGTCTCAGGACCTCCTGGAGGCAGTGAGGCATTAAATCTTTTAGTTTTTATTCCTGCCAAGGCTTTTGTATCTTTAATATCTTATATTGGTAAACATTGGAGTCAACAGGATTTACAAAGTGCTATATAGAAAGTATATATTTTTTTAGTTTCCTGATGACTCTGCATTTATAGTGCCTTTTCTCTGTTCAACATTAGAATCAATCAAGTCTTTTTTGCCACTTAAAGTATTTTTACAGAAGTGTAAGCTGCCCTTTTGCCTATGTTTCTACTGAAAAACACATTGTTACAGTAAATTCAACTTTTTACTTTAGAAGAAACGCACTACAACATCTAACCTGTGGCAGGATTGTTCTTTCTGCCTCAAAAAGAGAGATATGTTTGATAGATTATAACAAGTAACTTCCAACAGTTTAAATACAGGCTAAATGGTTAAGATTTGTTTACATATTCCATCTCCGAGTTCCAGATGTTAGATCCGCAGTTAAACACATGCTGCTGATTTAGGAAACACGCCCACGTTAATTGGTGATAGTCACAGTTTAACTGCCTTCCCAGTAAAAGGTAATTTCATCACAATATTCTGCACAAAATAAGCAAATGTAGCTTGTTTCCTCCGCGCTGAGCTGCTGGAGCTTTTGTTCACAATCAGAGTCACTAATCTGGGTTAAAAACAAAAAACGACAAACTGGATTTAAAAAGAGATAGCTACAGGGCACCTTACAAGTGAACTCGATTATTTAATAAGAATTTGGGGTGTTAGCATTTAAAATAAACAGATTTAATGACACACATTGATTGGATTGGTAGCCGTGTAACATGCAGAATGTGGTACAGTGGAATATATAAACAAATCTAACCAGTTAACGTAAAAACATTTAACGTGGAACACCGGAAATCACTTTTTGGCTGGACACCTGGGAGCTGTTTTCATTCTCAGACAGGACAAGTTATCTCCTCCCTGTCAATGAGCTCAAAAACAGCTGTTGTCCAGCTGTGTGCGTGCGCATTAACAACCGATACACGACTCGAAATAGCTCTCGTGGTCAACACTTTTGTCTTTTCTTACCTGGAATTATAAGACTGTGCTATCCTGCGTTATCACTCTCAATGTCAGCACAGCTGCTATGCTACTTTAGCGGACTCGCTTTCGTAAGGTGCGGGTACGGGCACTCAAATGAGACATTTCTCTTGATTTGGCAAAACAGCAGCGCGCCACCTACTTACGGGGAGTGTTTGCGGCAGCACACAGAGTGAATCTCTGAGTTTTTAGATATTTCCCCTGTAGTACTTAATCAAGACGCTACGGTTTATTTCAGAAGAACATTTTACAGTGAAGGTGCATTGTGGGACAAAAGGCAGGGCTAGTTGCTAAACTGCGAAACAAATAAAAATGGCCTGGTAAAAATAAATAAATAATAATAACAGCATTTTAGTTGTGAAATATTGTTACGTTAGAGAAGGATCATATAAGTTGAATTTTAGTGGTCTACAAAATTAAACTACATGTTTATTTTTATTTTTTTAAGTAAGTAAAATGCGACCAACTATTTTATACGGAAGCGTAGAACTTCCCCGTGGCCATTCATACAAAACCAAAGAAAAAACACATCCTGTTTTTTGTCCAGTCCGCTATAGATCCGACTGAGCTGTATATGTGTCCCACTGTGTAAAATGAGTTTGACATCCCTGTTGTAGACGCAGAGACAGTATCAGAGGCTACCGTTACCATGGCGTCAGGCTGAACGTCAGCTTGTTGCCACCCTGGCTCACCCCTGCCTCCTAGAACCCAGAGCCCTTGAGTAAGTAAGTTCCATTAAGCGACTGTGCTAGACTTCAACTCTGGAAACTGTTCAACACTATTCACTTAAAAACAAAACAGCGTCATTATCGATCATATGCTAGCTATATATAGCCATTTTGGTACTTTTTTTTAAATAAATGATCTTACTTACAAGGAGTTTAGTTTGATATTATTTAACTTTAAATAATTAACTAAATAAAGTTAACAGTTCGGTCAGCACTGTTTTCTACCCGGAGTCATTTAGGGGACGCACATATTACAATGGCAACCTGTTCGAAGAACAGCAAGGCTGATGCTGACGATGAAATAAACGATCCTGGCGCCGCTCCTTACGGTAACTTCATAAATTATTACAGCTTCAACCCTCCGGAGAACCGCCTGAGTCTGATTCCATCGGCTCTGCTCAGGGATTTAGGATACAGTGATGAGACCACGCTGATCGTGGACGTGGGCTGTAACTCAGGGGTAAGTCCACCTCTGTTGTTTTTTCATGCATACATACTAATGATTTAGGCCATATCCCTAAGTGGCCCCCTTTAAATAGGCAGGACTTTTTGATATGTTCTCGATTATGCATAAATGCTCATATTTGCGTTTAGACTCGTTTTTATAATCCAGACTAATAAATAAATGTAAATTTCTGTCCTCATACCACAATTGTTTAAGTTGAATGACTTATCAGAGGTTTGGATATAAGGGATCACACCCATTACGTAAGTTCTGGTGACGTTATATCTTTAAAAACCTTCCTCAGAGACACTTTAAAACAGATTTAGAGGCTGATCTTTAAGGATCACTTTAAATTGTCAGCTCTATAACAGCTGTCCTCTTTTTTTCCTTTCACCTACTGAACGGCAGGAACTGAGCATAGCTTTCTACAAACATCTGGTGCCTGAGGAACAGCCTGATAGGAGGAAAGTTCACCTCCTGGGCTTCGACTTGGATGAAACTCTAGTTCAGCGAGCGGAGGAGATAAACCCTCTGCCAAGCAGAATCACCTTCATCCCTCTCGACATCACTAAAGACACCAACCAGCTGCAGGACTACCTCAGCCTGCACGGCTGCTCTCACTTCCACTTGTGTCTGTGTCTAGCTGTGACCATGTGGGTCCATTTAAACCACGGAGACTTGGGCCTGCTGCAGCTGCTCTCTCGCCTGTCCTCCATGAGTCAGCACCTTCTGCTGGAGGCCCAGCCCTGGAAGTGTTATCGCTCTGCAGCCCGGCGGCTGAGGAAGCTGGGACGCTCGGACTTTGACCACTTTAAGACCCTGAAGATCCGAGGGGATGTGGCAGATCATGCCAGGGAACACCTAGAAAGACACTGTGGCATGGAGCTAATCCAGAGCTTTGGCAGCACTGCATGGGACCGTAAGCTGCTGCTTTTCAGAAAGACGTGAGGGGCTCTGTCAGGAGTTCCCATCAGCAGGAAGGACAGCAGAAACCACAAAGACAGATTGATATTAATCAGCAATTAGTTTGTTTCTTTTAAAGAAAATTGCTGCTTCAAATCTAAAGATTTTAAAGAAGTGATAATAAATAGACTTTGTGCTCTTAAGAGTGCAAGCAAGTGTATATGTACCTGTGTGTGTGTTGGGGTGGGGGGATAAGTGGTAGAAATTTGTGGCAATTTACACATTACAGCTTCATCATCAGTCCAAAACACTTCTAGCTACAGCATCCTGAAATCAAGCCTGTACTATCAAATGCGCTTTTTTGTACACATTTAATATTCAGCCCAGTCTTATTTCTTCATGCCAGATGGATCATTGTGCTGGAGTCATATCCTCCCGCACGATTTCACCACCACCCTTAACGATGGATCTATGATTTCTTCCAAATTCTGACCCTTTCTTCTAAATGTTGCAGCAGAAATCAAGACTCAGACCAGGCAATGTTTTTCTAATGTTTTGTTAGTCTGTATAAATTGTAATTTTCTGTTCTTAGCTGACAGAGGTGGCAGCCAATGTAGTCTTGTGCTGAAGTAGTCAAGGTTCGACACATTGTGCGTTCAGAGTTGCTCTTCTGCAGACCTTGGTTATTTAAGTTACTGTTGCCTATTAGCTGGAAGAATATTATCCATTCTCCTCTAGCATTAGCCTAGAGAACAGTTTACTGGATATTTTCTGACTAGTCTCTGTAAACCTTAGAGATAACTGGGAGAAAAATCCCAGTACATGACCAGTTTCTGAAATACTATGAAAGACCATCCTGTCTGGCACTAACTACTAAGCCTCACTCAGTCACGTAAATCACCTTTCTTCTCCATTCTGATGCTCAATTTGAACTTCAACAGATCATCTTCATGTCTACATGACACAGTTACAATGTGACTGACCAAATTGATATTTGCGTGAAGAACCTGTGGATCTAAAAAAAAAGTAGCCACTGAGTGTATAAGAACATCAGCTGATACTAGTTGTCAGATTTTCCTTTTACTCCATATAAATCAGTATAGGCTGATATCTAAACATCTAATATCGGATTGCTCAGTTGTTTACGTGGTTCAAACCTTTGTTGTTCATTTCCAGGAAATGTTTTAGCCATTAACTAACATTTAAATGTTGGACAACAGATTAACCTTGTATGACTGAACCACAGCAGACAATAACGGCAAAACAAAGCAACCAACACAGCATTGTAATTTTCATCATTTTAATTACAGAATACTAAAAATAACATTACATAAAATGTCTTTTTAAAAGAAACCATTGAATATTACAAAGGTTGTAAATTTTGTAAAGTTAGGATATAAAATCTTTGAACAGTGGTGCATAATTGAAAAAGAAAAATAATTCTCATAAAATGTATATATTAACTGTTCTACATTTAAAAAAAAAAAAAAAAAATGAGATGGGACACAAATTGCAGACAGACAGATGAGTGGACACCGCCATTACTGCAGTGAGCTCTCCTTTCAAAGGAAGGAGGACTTGAGATGCAAAGCTCACACACCACAATCGATTTAAGTTTTCAACTTATTTCTAAGCTAAAAACAGAAAAAAAAAAGGGGGGGGGGGGTTACCATATACAAGAGAGGAAGAACAGACAAGCTCGAGAGACTACACAAAGTGACTTGGTGACTGCTCCCAATATTTATAACGCATCTCAAACCGGGTGAAAACCCGACTACACTGGCCTTGGTTCCATAATGTTTTTTCCACAGGTTCAAAGCTGTCCAAAATTGTGAAAAATCTCATACTTGAAATAATTCCACCGAGACAGGGAAACAATGATCAGGCATCTTTTTAGCCTACTAACACTGCCGTTCCTATTTCCTAATTTACAACCGGTCAGTCGGATCCACTGAACACCACCGTGGTCACAACTCAATATCAGGAGGTCGACCTTAAGTGAAATGGACCTTTAAACACGCGCGCACACAATCACACACACACACACACATGCACACAAACACAAAGTTTGAGGGGGGGAAAAAAAACATGCCAAAAAAAAAAAATCATCCATCAATGTGCTTGCTTTCTTCCTCTTCTCTCTGAGTTTTGCATCACCCTGTGTCATTTCATGAGCCCTTGTTATTAATGTCTGAGTTAACACCACAGGGGGAAAAAAATAAAATAAATCACCAACTGAGGACATTCAGAGCCTGTTTGAACCACAGATGCTCCTCACACTGGCCAGTCATGTCCAAGCAGAGGTATTTCATCAGCCTCCTGCTCTTTGGGAGACAGTTTGTGTCACATTTTTGGTTAACAGACACGGAGCAGGGAAGCAATCAAAAGTTCATTAGGTCATTGTTATTTTATAAAAGATATGAATTTAATTGAGTTACGCTGAGTGGCAGAATCGCATTTACTTCTGTGCAGCAGTAGTGGTTTTAGTGGCCCATGAAGACCAGGTGAAAGAGAGGGGGAGAAACATGAGAAGCTAGAAGTGAACAGACAATAACCCAGAGGACATCTTAGAAGACAAAAGGATGTCTGAGACAACAGGCATTTAAGATGAACTGAGGCGCGAGACAGCAGCAGAGCTACTTGGTTTGGCTGGTCTGCTGCTCAGACTGCTGGAGATTTTTTTGTTTTTTGTTTTCTTTCCATGAGGGATCCAGGAGCTTCTGCTTAATGTGTAAGCTAATAATGCTGTTGAGATTCAGATGAGTCCCCCTGAGTTAGTGCACACATCAGAGTCAGGCAGGCCTCGCCCGCTTGTTCGTTAAGAAATTCACAAGAAAAAAAAAAAAGACACAAGAACAAAACCTCAATTTCATAGTCAAGCTTAGAATTAGCTTTGGAGACAGAGAGCCTGTCGTAGTTTTACAAGTCTGTGTTTGGGGACTGAGTCGATGTTAGTGTGGAGGAGGCAGAGGGAAAGTTCAGGTGTAAAATACGGCAGCTTGACGCAAAGCAGTCCAGCTGACGTCTGAGTCCTGCTCATCTTATGAAAATTCACAAGTTTGCTCTTTTTTTTCTTTTCTTTATTCTTCTCCTCATTGTTGTTGCTGTGAAGGTAATGTGCGCTTTGTATTGCCCAACCAGAGACAGAGCTGTGGTGTCTGAGCATGCTCATACTTTTAACGTAGCAACCTGAACATCTGCCATCGTTTCTCAAGTGGTCGTCGGTGTGAATCTGCCCAGCAGGCGAGCGGCTGGGGAATCTGGTCAGGTGCTGGTGTTGCAGTTTACAACTGACTGGGTGTCAGTCAAACAAACAGGTAGGTAAGACAGGCAGGTGGGCTGTAACAGGGCTTGGAGGGGGAGAGCCGAGGCTAGATCAGGGGGGCTGTGTCTATCAAGCCTTTGTTTGGGTCCAGACTGGCAAAGAAGCGGACGTCCCGGTCCTTGTCGGACTGCAGAGCCATCACGGTCTCTTCCAGCTCGTCAGCGCAAGCACAGCCCGGATCCTTGAAGTACGCTGGACACAAAACTCAGTTAGTGGGAAGAATCAAAAGTTATGAGCAAATGACCAGAGCTTGTGCTGAAGGGAGAGTAACTTTGACTTTAAGAAACAAAGCAACTGCAACTTCAGTGTCACAACACCGACTCACCTAAATCTCAGAGCTCAATATAGTTAACAACATAAAAACATCTTTAATACACTCAAAGGGAGAAGTATGTTATGACCAAAAGCTTATGATGATAACAGAGGGGGGGAAAAACAAAACAAAATGACACCCCTGATTCTGCCCAAAGCTCAAAAATCTACAAGTGTACCAACATCTCACGCCATGCTGTTGGTTAACTTTGTAAAACCGAATGCTGACAGCTTTACAATTATGCCCTGTACTTTTTCTTGATGAAGTATGAAAACCTTTAGATGGTCAGTTTTTTTTATGGATTACCTTTCTCCATCACGCTCTGTCGTAGAGCCTTGGCTACCAGGACGCGGACGTTTGCCACGGGGTCTGATGAGAGGCTGAGCAGGCTGGGCAGTAGATGCTGACTGAACTGCTCCATGGGCATGCAATCCTCCTCCACTACGGCCTATGGGAAATATTTGGCAAGAGCAAACCAAATGCAGGAAGTAGTGAGTCAAAATGCACTCAGCAACATAACGAAAGCATCTGACCACACAGAAAAGCTGACAAACAGGCTCATGTCACTGCACATCTCTTATGCGACGTGAACATGACATGAAACAACCACTGCTATTGCATGTATCGTCTGTCCATTTAAAACAATCACACACCAGGAGAAAGTTCACATTTCATCATAACAATTTAAAAACCGCATTGTGAATTGTAATATAGTATTACATTAATAATTAACACTATTAACAATTCATAATGAGGTTTATATACGTGTGACATGTACATGCTTGTGTTTTTTTTGTTGTTTTTCATTTGTTTACATTAAGAGACACGTTTAAGACAAATTTTCACTGCATTCAAAAGGACAAAGGTTTTTATTGAAAGTAAATTATACATTATCCAGGAACAATAACTGTTTTTTTCCCCCACTTGGTCAGAACAAGCCTTTTGGGGATTGAGGGGGGTCAACTGTGATTGGTCTGCAATTTTCCTGTTATTTCCTGTTCATCTGATAAACTAAATGCCTGCTCTGTTTCAGTAATTTTAACTCCAATTAACAAAAGTAGTTTTAAGGGAATAATTCTATTACATAGTTTGTGATTTTTCACAAACCTCCTTGGGGACGCCCCTCCCCCAAAAAACTTTTATAAATGGCACTTCAGCTTTGTCCTAACAGGAAGTGACAAGCCGACAAGTGAATGACATTCCATGACATCCAGTGACTATGGGTCACGTAACCACAGGCGACAGGAAATGGGTGGGACCAGAGATAAACAATTTCCAGGTGAGTGACTGAAGAGGTCACCAGTGAGCACACAGGATATCATTGATTGCCATCTGACCAGGACTAAATCTAATAGAAGGTTATCTAGGCAACCAGAGCCTGGAATATCCTTAAGTGACTGGCTGTCAGCTTCAACACTTCGTGTATATGCAGCTTGAAGGCTGTTTTACCTCAAAGCTCCAAATGGCATCTGGTTTGTCACTTTATTTATTTTATTCCATTTCCCAGCAGCAGCAGCAGCAGCAGCAGCAGCATGGACAGTCACTGATGCAGTTACAGACATTTAAAGCCGAGAGAGCTGTG